CTAAATTAGCCAATTTTTAGAATTCGTGTTTTAATAATCATTTTATCCTACAAGGAAGTTAATTTGATACATCCTTGTTAAATAGTTGGCCCCAGGCACAGGCTATTCTTTCCTACAGTAACTCTTAGCCATTTAAAATAATCTGAGCTTGCTTTGGGCAGACTCCCCGACTGCAATCCCTGTGGTAATACGTAATATACATATCCCATATTTAAAAAGTAGATTCTAAATTTAAAACGATAGCACAGTGATTATAAAGACAAAGACAAACCCGAGTTAATTCAGCTGTGCTTTCATGTAATCTCTTTTTTACTGATGTCTAAATCAGTGAAACAAAGTGTGCAATCAAAGCGTAAAATTTGGGGGTGTAATGAAACTTTTACCACATTTGAAAATAAATATTTTACTGACTTTAAATAATATCTTTAAACATGAAACGTATTTCTTAATGCTTCATTATTTTAGTACTACATTAAAAATCATTTCAAATATGAGGCACCTGGGTGGCTCAGCTGGTGAAGCGTCTGACTCCAGCTCAGGTCACGATCTCACCGTTTGTGAGTTCGAGCCCCGCACTGGGCTCTGTGCTGACGGCTCAGAGCCTGGAGCCTGTTTCAGATTCTGTGTCTCCCTCTCTCTCTGCCCCACCCCCCCAACCCCCATCCCCACTCACACTCCGGCTCTCTCTCTCTCTCAAAAATAAAGATTAGACAAAATTTAAAAAATCAAAATAAAATCTTATATCAGCTGTATTATTTAATAGTTGCCTAAATTGTACCATTAGCACATGTTTTGATCTTCTCAAAATTTCCTTATGATTTTTGTGATGATAAATTATATATAAAATGTTCTCTAGGAGTGCCTGGCTGGCTCAGTCAGAAGAGCATGTGACTCTTGATCGCAGGGTCATGAGATTCAGCCCTAATTGGATGTAGAGATTACTAAAAAAATAAACTTAACAAAATGTTCTATAAAAGAAAATTTGCACTGCATTTTCTGACCATAATGGTTTCAATTCATGCATATTACTAAAAATAAAACTCAGTGAATACACTAAAAGTCACTGAATTGTGCACATTAAATGGTTAATTGTACATTAAATGGTTGAATTGTATGGCAGATGGATTAAATTTTAATAACATTAATAAAAAATTATGCCTCTCTGTGTGACAAATACATTAATTGCACCATGAGAGAGCAATATTTTATTGTCTGAAACTCTTCATAATTTGGCTCTAGTCTCTGATATTTTTTATTTATTTATTTTTTGTTCTCATTTTTGTTTTTAACAGCTCTAGTGAGGGATAATTGACTTACCACAAACTGCCTATGTGTAAAGTGCGCAATTTGATAAATTTCAATATACATATACATCTGGTAAACCATCGTACCAAAACAAAATTGTGAATGTATCCACCCATAATCCCCTAAAATTTCCTCATGCCCCTTGGTGATCCCTCCTCCCCACCACCACCTCCAACCCCAAGCAACCATTGATTTGCATTCTGTCACTATACATTAGTTTACATGCTCCATAATTTTATATACATGGAATCCCAGAGCAGGTACTCTTGTGGCTATTCTTTCACCAGGTATAATTATTCAGGGAGTTATCTATATTGTGTATATCAGTAGTTCCAAAAATTTTTAAGCCATACACTGTCCAGTCACCTGTCGTTAAGTAGGTGGCTGTTTCCAGTGCTTGCTATTACAAAGAAAGGTGCTAGAAACATTCATGTGCGCGTCTTGTATGAACATATGATTTCTTTTCTCTCGGGTAAATACCTAGGAATAGCTAGAACACACGTAGGTTTTTAACTTTTTAAGAGACTGCCAAACTTTCTTCCAAAGTTCAGCAGTGCACAAAAGTCCTGGTTCCTCCACGTTCTCACCGCCTGATATGATCAGTCTGGTTTTTTCTTCAATGTAAACCCATTTTTTCTGACCTTTGGTTCTGTCTTCTCCTTTCTCTACCACACTCCTGTTACCTTTTTTTTTTAAAAATAATGGAAGTATAGTTGACATACAATGTTATATTAGTTTCAGATCTATAAAGCAGTGATTCGACACCCCTATACATCATGCAGTGCTCAGCGTGAGAAGTGTGGTCACCATCTGTCGCCATACAAAGTTATTACAATATCATTGACTATATTCCCTATGCTGTACTTTTCATCCTCATGACTTATTTATTTTGTAACTGGAAGTTTGTACTTCTCAATCCTCTTTACCTATTTTTCTCATCCCCCCTCCACTCTCCCCCTGCTGGCAACCCCCAGTGTGTTCTGTGTATTTACGAGTCTATTTCTGTTTGTTTTTTCGTTAGTTTTGTTTTTTAGATTCCACATATTAAGTGAAATCTTATGGTATTTGTCTTTCTTTCTCTGATTTTACTGAGCAAAATACCCTCTAGGTCCATCCATGTTTTTGTAAACGACAAGGTTTTATTCTTTTTTATGGCCCAGTAATATTCCACTGTGGGTATACATGTATATACCCACATCTTCTTTATCCATTCATCAGTTGATAGACACTTAGGTTGCTTCCGTATCTTTCTACCCAAAGAAAATGAAAACACCAATTTGAAAAGATATATATACACTCTTATGCCTTTTGCAGCATCACTTACAATAGCCAAGATATGGAAGCAATCTTTTGAAATTTTACCCATTCTAATGTATGAGTCATGGTATCCCATTGTGGTTTTAACTTACGTTTTTATAATGACTAATGTGCTTATTTTCCATACATGCATTTTCTTTTGTAAAGTTTCTCTACAGATCTTTTGCCCCCCCCCCCCCCTTTTTTCAATTAAATTGGCTTGTTTCCTTATTATTTGGTTTACAAAGCTCTTTACATATTCGGACTATAAGTTCTTTGTTGGATATGTGACTTGCAAATTTTCTCCCAGGCTGTACCTTGTCTTGTCATTCTCTTACCACTGTCTTTCTCATAGTCAACATTTTTTACTTTGATGAAGCCCTAATATATTTCCTGCCCCACACTCTCTTCTCGTCCTGAGATTCTGATAATATGAACGTTAGACTTCTTGGCTCTGTTCTACAGGTCCCTAAAACCCTGTATAGTTCTCAAGATATTTTTTTCCTCTATTGTTCAGATTGAATTATTCCTATTGATTTTGCTTCAAGAACACTTACTCTTTCCTCTGTCACCTCCATTCTCCTTCAGAATTTTCAATCCCCTACTGAATATGACACAGGTTTTGGCATAACTACAAACTGAATACCCCAATATTATTTACTTTGTCTAAAGCATTAAGTTTACATTTATTTAAACATCATCAAAAAGCAGTTTTTATATCCAGTTAATTAAATACATCACTA